TTTTAAAGAATTATTTATTTTATTTGTTATTATTATTATTATTATTATTATTTTAATTTGATCAGAGAAAGAGAGAAAGGGAAAGTGAGAAAGTAAGTCACTAGGTCCAGAACTTGAACTGTGGTCAGCCATGTCAGAGTCTGTCATAAGGAAAGCTGGTTTCTTTACAATGATTCCTTTTATGCCCATCATAAAGGTTTTTTTTTTTTTTTTAAAAAGAAACCTTAATGATACCAAATGCCATCAATAATATGAGGGATCATCAGTAAGTTCATGGAAAATGCATATTATGAAAAAATTATGCATGGATTTCAAAATTTTTTACATTTTTTCATGAACTTTTGAAGTCACCTTATGTGGGAAACAGGAATTCTCAAAAAAGGAAGGTAAACACCAGTAGGACCACTTTAGGAAGCAACTGGGCAATTATCTGTGAAGTTAAATTCATATATCAACCAAGAATTCTGCTTTATCTATACTATCTAAAGGAACAATTATAAAATTTTACCATTCCGTACGTTGGGATACATGTTGTTACATTTTCTCTGTACTTTTCCCATTAAACTTATATTTTTAGCTTTGGCTATAGGGCCTGTATACTCACTGAAGAGAGACAGGGATTGGGGTGGTGAGAAATCACCCCCTGGTGGGATGCCCACACTGCATTCTGTTCTCCTCCATTCTCCTTTGGCATTTTGGGCACACACACACATGCCTGGTGTGCTTTTCAAGCAACCAGGTCAAGGACTTGAACCCTGTTGTCATCCAAGTGGGATCCAGCTGTCTTAATTACCACACCACACACTGGCCCATAAATTATTTTTAAAGTCACAGTTTCATAAGGGGAATTGGCTTATTTATGAATTTGGTATATTGTCTGGTGGTTTGAAAAATTAACACTTTTGCCTGTCAAGATCATCAGTTTTAAATTTTTTCTTATTTTCCTCACTCCTGCTATGCCATCAGTTCAGTTTTTTATTATAGCGAAGGGTTGGCTTGGTGAAGAACCTGGGAAAATGAATGAAATATATATATATATATATATGCGCTCATCAGAAGTCCTGACACGTCCACTGACGGTCAGTATTTGCCAGCTTCGAGAATGTAGAGTTACACCATTGAGCTAGCCTCCCTCACCACACACACTAGTTGGCAATATTGGGGTTCTAAATTTCTCACTGTTCAGAAGCTGAATGGTGTGGACATTATAAAAACCTACTGACTGACTCTATTTCTTTCACAGAAAATATAAAAAAGATAATGAACTTCGTCAGAAAAAGTGGTCTCACATTCCTCCTGAAAATATCTATCCTCTAGAGACCAATGAGACCAACCAAGTTAGCTTGAAGGTAAGGACTAACATGTATATGTTGAAGAACGGTACTATTTGCCAGGTATTTTTTTTCTTCCTATTTTGCCAGAGAGCACGTGCACTCAACTCACCAGAGAGAGACAGAGAGAAAGACCGAGAGGGAGAGGGAGAAAGGACCCCTCTCCCAATGAAGAATGGTCATGTAACAACCCCTTCTCCATTTCTCTATCCCGCCGGAACTTGGGGACACACATGCACACATGGCTGGCACCTGTTTCAAGTTGCTGGGGTTAGGACTCCAACTACACAATCAGCCCTGTGAGAGGCACCTCCCTTAACCATTAGGCCACGGAACCAGCCCAATTTGCCAGGCATTTGACAAGGCTTTGCAGCATGATGGGAAATGTACCAAGCAGGGATATATTTGTTTTAGAATTCCAGACTTAGATTCAAATTCTCAATGTCCTACCTTTCCCTTGATTCTCCATTGCTTTAAATATCAGCTAGTTAACTCAGTGACTATTTCAGTGGATACTGTATATTACTCATTCTTCGCATCTGATCCAGATGGGGTGTTCTTCACAGACGAGGTGTAGGAATGAGAAGAGTATCTGAGTTTCCCAGAGCTGGAATGTGAGTCACCAATGCTCAGGACCTGTGACTTCGCTTGCACATTGCTGGAGAGACCAGAGCTGATATTTGCCCACTTTCTCCCTCAGCTGGGAAATAACCATCAGTGCCATTGATAACTCACTCATTCACTACGGTGAAAGCTGGACCCACGTTGTCTCATTCACTCTTCACACAGAACCCAGGAGTCAAGCTTTATCGTTACAATTTTGCTAATAAGGAAACTGAAAGACAAAGGATTAAGAAACAGTGTGGAGTCACAAAGGGCTAGGGAGTAAGAGTACTATGAATAATGATAGTTACCACTTTCTGAGCACGTGTTATGTTCCAGATGCATTAACCCACTTTACCTTCCCTGAGCCCTGTGAAGTAACAGCTGCAATGTCAGTTCCTTTAACCAGTAGGTTCCAGGGTTGGCCCTCAAATGTCCATGAGTACAGAGCTTTCATTAGTTTATTGATTAACCACTCACATGGCTAAGATATAGGTCTTATGGCTAAGATATAGGTCTTTGGGATGGTAAACTCTAGAGAGAGAGGTTGAAATGATTCAGAACATGTGGGAATATTGTTATCCTGACTTTCAGACAGGCTGGGGAGTGAGTGGATGGGAAGTGGCTACACAGAGGTCACCAGGTCTGCGAGTCAATAAAACCAGGAGAACACCCAAGGCCAGCCAAAGTTAGCAAAGTACAGTACAACCGGGCCGGTCATGGTTCGATTTCTGCATACTGAGTCAAGGCAGAGATAAGGAAGCTAGACTTAAGGGTAATAAAGAGTCAGACATCCCAGTACTAGAACTGAAAGGGTCGGAAAACCAGACCAAAGAATCTAGACAAAAAGAGAGGTCAGGAAAGCCAAAGGGATGTGGTAACAGACCGAGACGATGCTAAAGATGATGGCGGCTCATTTGAAGATAAAAACAGAAGTCCTTTAACATGTGAGAGAATTTCCCAAACTTTGTCTCATCTGATCCCTTGGTATACTGACGAGTTAGGACTTCACAGTAAAAAACCTGAGATTCGAATAGTTTTAACAACCTCATTGAGGTCTGAAACAATAAAAAGAGCAGTAGGATCAACAGACAAGCCCAGGTTCTGTCATGTTCTTTTTCCTGTGACACTTAATGCCATTTAACTCTCATGTGCCTCATTTCTGTGAGAAGAGGACATGCAGATGATCCGTATTTAGTAATCTGCATGGTGCCAGACATCACGCGGGAACCTTGACATAGCTGAGTCCACCCAGGTGATAAATTTATTTCATTCAAAATGACCTTGTAAGGTAAATTTTAACAAAGATAATAATGCATCTCAGGCTTTTATGAGAATCTAATTGAAAAATACTGGGTTGTCAGAAAAGTCATGACACATATTTACAAAGAAAAAAAATACACCATGACCTTTCTGACAACCCAGTATAATAGTTCTCAACCCTTTCTCTGTCCGTAGATCAGCAATCATTAATCGGCAGGCCAAGAGCCCTACATAGCCTGTTGGGCTGTGTGGGTACGCGCGCATGTGTGTGTGTATGTGTGTGTGTGTGTGTGTGTTGTTCAATATTTAACACGTCTAACATTAATTGTCAACATGTAAATATCATGAAATAGCATATATGAATCTATACTACTGGCATCTTTTGACAGATAAGATTATCTGACAACTCTTGGCTGATCCCAGAAGTGATAGAATTGCACCCCTTAAACAACTGGCCCAGCTTCCTTGTTTGCTTTGCTATTTGAGGCTTCAGGACTCAGTTTGCAAATCAAATGCAGGGGGTCCTTGCCTAAGAGCATCTGACTGCACCTACATGCCCTAAACCCAGCAGAAGGAGGTCAAGACAAGAAAGAAAGAAGCAAATTCTTGCTTGGCCCAGCTGTTATGGGGCAGGCTGCTAAGACACTGTGCCCACAGGCAGGTCCACAAGGGAGGCCTAGGTTCAAGTCCCAGTCCAATCCCAAGGCAGGGTGCGGTGGTGTGTGTCTGTAATTCCAAAGACTTGGGGAATCTGAGGCAGGAGGATCATGACACAGTGAGATCGTGTCTTCAAAAAAAAAATAAAATAAAAATAAAAACTGGAAAATTCCTGGCTGGAAAACCACAAAGGAAAAGAGGAAAGCTCAGAGTAAAAGCGTGAGAGTAACAGATACCAGGAAAGAAGGTATTAACTGGAGTACAAAGCGAGTACTGAGAGGAAAGACAAGGCAACTGTAACCGTCTTCTGGGGCCTGCCCAGCACGCTGCTGAGCAATCAGCAGATACAGCTCACATGGAAGAGCTTCTCAGCCTCTGACTGGGAGCATGTGGGGCAAGATACGGACTTCTGGAATAATTAGCCTTTTCTTTTGCCAGATCGATGATGACAAAAGACGAGATACAATCCAGAGACTACGACAGTGCAAATATGACAAAAAGGTGACTGCAATCTTCCTCACTTCTCGGAATCTCAGTCAGGGCTATATCCTGGGCCTTCTGAGCCAGCTCCTGCTGTTGGCAGCTCAGAGGTGGTGGTGCCCAGCTGGCAGCTTCAGTGGGGTGGGCAGGGCTCTGCTTCAAGGGTTACAAAACTCACGGCCCTCAGGGGACTGAAGAACAAATAGAATCTGGGGGAGAGGTGGAGTATAGCAAAGAAAAGGAAATATAAAAGAGATCCGGAGCAGTCAGGGAAATCTCGGTAGTATATTTTGGCCCATGGGTGAGGGATACAACAATCTCGCATGGAGGTTTTGTGTCCACTTTCCTTCCTTTCTCCCTCCTGCCCTTCCTTCCATTTTGGTTAGGTATTCTGGAAGAAACATTCAAACCTGAGCCTGCCATATCCCAGGTACTAGGCACCAGCAATATAAACATCAGTCGAATACTGTCACTCTTCTCAAGAGCTCACAGTCTAATGGGACATGCAAACAAATTATTAAAATACGCATATAAGAACTTAACGTTAAAACAATGTCTCTTTGATCCACTTGACCTTTGCAGCGGGTGATTCTCAAAGATCTCAAGCACAACGATGGTAATTTCACTGAGAAGCAGAAGATAGACTTGAACAAGGTATGTGTTTCAAACTTCAGACCCTCGAGAAATGGCTTTTCTCCATTTCCGTTACTCACAGAGATCCCTGGTGGAATAAAGTAGTATTTTGGATACTTCAGAGAAGCCCTCAAAGCCTAGAATTGAATGACTCTTCTTGTTGAAAATTCTGTCACGAGATGTTGAAGAGTGAGGTTTGGTGGTGGAAATCTACTAGTGTGCCCTAGAATATGGCTCTGATATTATTTGGCAGTGGTTAGAGTTTGTGTTCAAGTCCCCTGGCTGTCAGAGGAATGACACTTGAGTAAGACATAGCATAATACGTATTGTAGTAAGTAACGGGTACTGATGTTCAATTTATTAAGAGCAGTACGGCTTCCCAAAGATCTAAAACAAACCATGATTTATTGGTACATGGATTTTTACTCTGGTGCCCCTTTCTGTCTGACTTTCCTTATAAACAAATATGTTCTAGTTGCTGCAGATTGATTACTACAACCTGACCAAGTTCTACGGCACAGTGAAGCTGGATAGCATGATCTTTGGGGTGATAGAATACTGTGAGAGAGGATCCCTCCGGGTAAGAAACCATGGTCATTTCCAATTTTATAAGTGGTCAAAAATGGGAGTGTGTATATATATATATATATATACACATATATATTCAGCATACCTCTTAAAACATTAACCCAGTGAAAGTTATCAGGAAAAGTTGGTGAACTCACATTCTTTTCAAACTAGGCCACTCAGATGTTAAAACTGACATGAACTAGTGGAGTTTGCATTGGACTCCATAAGTTAGAGGCTGGAGCCCAGGGAGACCCACCCCTCAGAGACCTACTGCAAGTCCCAGGCCTGCTGCACTCTGACTAACCAAGTGTAAATCAGGAGTTCCTGTAACTCCCTCCTCATGTTTGATGCTTAGCTAGAATGACTCACAGAACTCAGGGAAAACAACTTATTTATTATTACCAGTTTATTATAAAGGGTATTATAAAGGACACCAATAAACACCCAGGTAGTAAGATACATAGCGCAAGGTCCAAAAGGTCTTAAGTACAGATTCTGTCCCTATGGACTTGGGAGGTGCCTCAACACATCCCAGCATGGAGATGTGTTGACCAACCTGGGAGCTCTCCAAACCCTTGAATTTAGGGGGTTTTATGAAAAATCAATCATGTAGGCACAACTGATGGACTCATTGGCCACTGACGATTAACCCAAAATTTTATAACATGGCCATGCCTCAGATACATCACAGATTTGGTTTCCTTTCCTCTCCCTGGATGTGTACGAGGAGAGGTGAATGGGAAGTTCTGCCCCTCTGGCCATATGGTTGGTTCCTCAGGCAACCAGGCCTCATTCTGAAACCACTGGGTCTTTGAGAAAGTCATGATGCATTTTTGCATCGAAAAATATATCATGACTTTCCCAGTGACCTAATATATTGGGGCCCACCACAAGTTATCTCAGTAGCATAAACCTCAGTTTGTTTGAAAGGGACTAATTTTGAACAGTAAGAGTTCCCACCCTTCTCACTCAGGAAATCACAAGGGTTTAAGAACTCTAGCCAGAAACCAGGGATGAAGACCAAATATATTTCTTTTTATATTATAATATCACACCAATAATAGTAGAAGAAATTATAATTTCTATGTAGAGAAAACTAGATTCAGCTTAATCCTAAACTTTAATGAATAATTTTCATTATCTATGTACTATTCTAAAGCAAACAAAAACATGAACATTCTCTAAATTCATTTCATATGTAATAGAACTAGCCTTCTATAATTAAGTTTGACTAGGGACCAGCAGATGGCATAATGGTTATGTCACTAGACTTCCAACTAGTTGACTGTGGTTCGAATCCTGGACACAGCTGCTTAAACTCATGCCAGGTGTGTGTGCATGCATGCCCAAAATCCCAAGAGGAGAATGGAGGAGAAGGGATTGTGGCATGGTCTTTCCCCCTAGGAAGTAATTTTTCACTTTCTCTCTCCCTCTCTCTCTCTCTCTCTTTGTCTCCCTGGTGAGTGCACATGCCCTATAGCAAAAATCTCTCTTAAAAAATAAATAAATAAAAATAAAATCTGACTAAAGCCAACTACAATTATCACTAAGTATGGAAGAAAATTTAAAAATACTAGTACCACTAAACCAATTGTATACAGAGAGCATAATACAGATAAATTCATATGGCTAATTCTATGAATAGGAAAAATATCATAATGCACCATATTAAAAGGTCAAAAAAGAGCGGCACCAGCAGGTGGCATAGTGGCTTAGACACTGTACTCCCACACGGCTGACCACAGTTCTACTCCTGGACCCAGAGGCTTGAAATTCACACTAGGCGTGTGGGCATGCGTGTCCAATATCCCAAGAGGAGAATGGAGAAGAAAGAATTGCAGCATCCCCAGGGGATGATTTCTTAATTTTTCTCTGTCTGCTTCTCTGTCTCTCCAGCAAGCACATGTGCTCTAAATAGAAAAAAAAAAAAAAAGTCAAAGGAGGAAGACCATATGATCATTTTAATTGATACTGATAAATAAAATAAACACATACCAGTAATAATAACTATTTCAGATCTTTCAAAACTAGAAATATTTCCCATGTGTGGGTGAGACCACACGCTAAATTATTTGATTCCAAAGGAACAGAAGTTTTACAATACAGGTATACTTCAGAGCACCTGGGACTCACTTCCACTGCAACTTCAACAAAGCTAATATCACTACAAAGTCTTGCAGTGAATCATCATTAACGAGGAATATTTGCCATAAAGCAAGCTACACGATTTTTTTTTATTTCCCACTGCATATAAAAGTTCTGTTTACACTGCACTGTGATCTATTAAATGAATGATGGCATTATGTCTAAAACATAATGAACCGACCTTGAGTTGAAAAATACTTTATTACTAAAAAAAAAAAAATGCTAATCATCATTTGAGCCTTCAGCAAATCATATCTTTTCGCTAGTGGAGGGTCTTACCTCCATGTTGAGGGCTATTGATTGATCAGGGTGGTGGTTGCTGAAGGTTCAAATGACTGTGGCAATTTCTTAAAATAAGACACAATAAATTTTACTGCATTGTAATTACTTTTACTTGCTGGAATTTGCTGGTATTAGCACAGAGCTGATGGTTAAGTGTTCAAAAATATGTTAGGCAGTCAGTGTTAAATTTTCAGTGGCTGGAAGGCATCCAGGGTGGGAGTATTCCAGGATGGTAGTCAGCAAGGGCTACTTCAGAGAGCCAGTTTATCAGCACGCCACCAATTTATACTGAAGAGGTTTAAATTCCTTTGGAAACAATGGACTTGTAATCAAAGGCAAAAAAAACTTTTTTCTTTTTTTAATGAACAAAGATCATCAGGGAAATAAAAGAGCAATAATAACCAAAACATTTTTGAAAAGGAAGGATAATGAGAGGTTACTTGCCAGAAAGTTATTATGATCAAAGCAGTATAGTAACAGAGTATAAAAAAGTAGATGCCTCATGGGAAAAAAATATGGGCCAAGAAGAGCATTAAGCATATGATAAATATGATTAAAGAAGGGTAATTTAATAAATGGTGCTGAGATCAGAGGATGTTTAAACTTTCATTCTCCAGCCGGCCCCATGGCCTGGTGGTTAAAGAAGCCAGATCCCATGTGACCAGCCGTGCTGTTCAAATCATAGCCCTGGCAGCTTGATAAACATGCCGGGCGCATGTGTGCACACGTCCCAAATCCCCCTTGGTTGGAGAAATGGAGGAAAGGGGATTGTGACATGACTACACACCATTGGAGTGTGCTTCTTCCCTTTCCCTCTTTCTCTGTCTCTAGTGAGTGCACCTGTCCCCCTGGTTAAATTAAAAAATCAAAAACAAAACAAAAATCTTTCATTCTCCCTTCCACGAGAGGCCTTTTTTCCTATCAGTTCCCTCTCCCTGGAACTCTTTATACCCTACTTTATTCAGATCTTGGTGGAACAATCTCTTCCTGAGGAAGCCGCCTTTGACTTTCCTAACAAATCTCCGAATTTTAGGGGCGAAACCTTCATAATATATGCTCTCTTTCATAGAACTTACCACAATTATAATTCTACATTTGCTGATCTGATTATTTTATGAATGTCAGTTTCTTCTACTAGACTGTGACCTTGATAAGAGTTTCCATTGTAGTCCCAACCCCAAACCCAGTGTCTGCTTTATAGATAATACTCAAACATTGTTTTAAATAAATAAGTAGATCACCTTTTAAAACTGCACAGAAAATAGCATATAAACCTGCATATATGTTATTATTTCAATTTTATGAAATAAACTACATATACTTTATGTATATACATCAAAGAAAACTTAAAGGGGGGCTGGCAGGTGGCATGGTGGATAAAGGCATTGGATCCCCACATGGCCGGCTGCGGTTCAAGTCTCGCACCTGGCACCTTGCTTTCTGGCTTTCCCTTTTTCTCTGTCTCTCTCTGGTCAAATTAAAAAAATAGTAATAACAAATGGAATAAGATAAAATAAATATTTCTTTTCAAAACAAACTAAAAGGAAATACCAAAATAAGAATAGATTAAATGTGCAATGATGATGATTTCCTTTCTTATATTTTGTAAATTTTTGGCATATTTTCTATAAGTATGAATATCCTTTATAATCAAAATAGAAAATAATACACTTTTTACAATTTGGCAGATGAAAACAGGGCAGAATGAGTGAATGGTAAGATAAAGGGAAAGAAAGAGTAGAAAAGAAAAGAATTATTTTAGGTTCTGCCTCCTCATAACTCCCCTCCCTTAACTTAGTATCCACAGCCCAGGTCTTCCACGGCAAACCAGGCTTCGAGTCCCTGCTCTGAGGTTTGAAAAACATGCTGAGTGGCCATGCGTGCATGCATCCTGGACCCTGGCAGAACGGAGAACTGGGGGAGAAAGAATTACAGCATGACTACCCTCCACTGGGGGGTCCTCTCTCTGTCTCTCTCTCTCATCTATACACACATGCTCTCTGGCATTAAAAAGAAATCTAGATCACACAATTTACACGCACACATACACACACACACACAAATCCAAGAACTCTCTTATTGTCAGAGGACTTAGTAAACTTAAAAAACAAACAAACAAAAAACCAAAAACTTAAAGCGATTAAGGCATGTTCTTAGTCACATGAACCCAGTGAAGGAATTTCCTAATAGCAATGGTCAGTTTCAAATACAAGTGCAGTCTTTCTGAGACAGCAGGGCAGGGCAGCCACTTGCCAATCAGCTCACTCTCTAGGCAAGGCTCTGCTCGTCCTGTATCCCTGTCTGATGGCAGAACTGGGACTTGCGTGTGTGTATTTCAGTCACCCACTGCTTCTCATGTTGAAGAGAAAAGAAATGTATTTGTGAAAACCAAGACGATGAAGTCCCAATTTGGTCTTGGGCCTCGTGATTAGATCATTATTTGACGACATTATGTAGTCTCTCCGCAATATCCTTTCTTACGACAACTAATCTTTCTAATTTTGCCCTATCCAGGAAGTTTTAAATGATACAATTTCCTACCCTGATGGGACATTCATGGATTGGGAGTTTAAGATCTCTGTCTTGTACGACATTGCTAAGGTAAGAGACCCACAAACACCAAAAAGAAAAATTATAAAAGTGAAACATAGGAAAATCGATCTAGCAGGTTATTCAGCCTCTCTGTGCATTGGTTTCTTCATCTGTACAATGATGATAATATTGGATTGTCAGAAAAGTCATGATGTATTTTTCTTCTGTTTTTCTAGGCAAAAATGCTTCATGACTTTTTTTTCTTTTAGAAAGATTTTTGCTATCAGGCACATGCACTCTTTAGAGAGATAGAAAGTAAGAAATCATTGCTCCCCCCTTCTCCTCCATTCTCCTCTTGGGATTTAGGACATGCAGGCACATGTGCCCAGCATGAGTTTAAGCCTCCGGGCCTGGGACTCAAACCAGAGCTGACTACATAGGAGTCCAGCAATGTAACCATTATGCCATCTGCTGGTCCCATTCATGACTTTTCTGACAACCCAATAGTAGCAATGTCATAAAACTGTTATGAGAACTGTATGAAAAAATTATGTGTGCTTACTACAAGATCTGGTACAAGTAAATGTCTATACATGTTGAATATTATTACATTTATTATTCTACTCTTTACATTTTGGGTGGAGGGCATATACTTCCACAGATTTTCCAGAAATCAAAACCAATAAAACTGCATGAAGACAGCACAGTTCTCCAATTTATAGAGAAAACATTAAGTATGGGCAATTATATCCTACAGATTATTAATAAATTTGGACATGTTGGGCCAGAGGGTGGCATGGAGGCTAAGGTGGCTGGATCCCACATGGCTGGCTCGCAATTTGAGTCCCAAACTGGCAGCTTGAAAAACACAACCAGGCTCATGTGCGTTCATGCCCAAAATCACAAAAGGAGAACTGTGGTGTAGCCATTCCCCATGGGGAGAGATTTCTCCCTTTCCCTCTCTCCACTCTGCCTCTGGCAAGCAGACATGCCCTATAGCAAACTAACAATAAATAAATAATTAAATGAGTGAATGAATGAATGTGGACAGGAGCATTACCAGAAATAATATGGAAAAGGCAGTGGACAGCAGTAACGTCTCATTCAAGAAGGAAAAAAAGTCAGTCCTTGGGAACCAGCGGTTAGCATAATGGCTATGTCGCTGGACTCCCACATAGCCGACCGCGGTTCATGTCCCAGACCCGGTGACTTAAAACTCACGCCGGGTGCGTGTGCGTGTGTGCCCAAGATCCCGAGAGGAGAATGGAGGAGAAGGGATTGCGGCGTGACCATCCCCCTGGGGGTGATTTCTCGCTTTCTGTCTCTCTGTCTCTGTCTGTCTGGCGAGCGCACGCGCCCTATAGCAAAAACCTCTCAAAAAAAAAAAAAAGAAAAAAAAAGTCAGTCCTGAGAGGGAGCTGTTTGATAGAGTCTTAATTCACTTGAAAGTAACACAAGATGATAATCAGTTAGAAAAAAAATGTTATGATGATCTTTTTGCACACACTTTCCACTCTTCATGATAGGGGCTGAAAACTAGTTGCTGCTATTACACCTTTGGCCACCAGAGGGAGGCACACGGCCCATAGCAGGCTTCCCCTTCCAAAATCGAATGAGTGAACGAGTGAACATTTTATTTCGAAGTAGAACGAGACATATTTAGCTTTAGGAAATAATCTAGCCTCGTCTCTTCTTTCGGAAAGGCAGCCCTTATTATTCATATTTTAAAATCGAGGTAGCAGAGGACCAGAGACATGCCCAAAGTCACAGACCATGCAAGTGGTAAGCAGAAAAATAATCAACATTTTGCCACATATTATATATAATTATTTAAACCAGAAGCTCTAAACAATTGGCTTTTTCACTCTAACATGTAAATAAACTTCAAACAAGATGCAGTGCTTGGGCATATATTAAGGCTTTAACAATAAATATATTTAAAAGGTTTTTGCTATGGAGTCATGTACTAGACAGAGTGTGTGTGTGTGTGGGGGGGGGGAAAGAGAAAGAAATCACTCCCTGGGGGGATGATCATGCTGTGGTCCATTTCCCTCCAGTCTTCTCTCAGGATTTTGGGCACCCATGCACACACGCCTGGCACGATTTTCAAACCATCAGGTCTGGGTCTCGAGCCACGATCTGCTATGTGGGGTCCAGTCCCTTAACCACTACACCACCTGCTGGCCCCCTTAATGCTATTTCCTACAGTCAAATTAATGGCATTACATTTAAAATCTGATGGTGTGAGTATCTATAGGCTGAGATGGTTTCAAAATGTCTGTTCTTTACTTAATCAAGCTGAAGTGTGTCCCACACCTTTGTTTTCCTATATTGTGACAAATTACAGGGGATGTCATATCTGCACTCCAGTAAGACAGAGGTCCACGGTCGTCTGAAATCCACCAACTGCGTCGTGGACAACCGAATGGTGGTGAAGATCACCGATTTTGGTTGCAATTCCATTTTACCTCCCAAAAAAGGTCTGTTATAAATGAAAGTTTTACTGGTTTTCCACTTGGTTCTTAACATTTTTCCCTCAAGCCCTTTTAGAGTACTCAGGGAATGGCGATACTGAGCAGAAAAATACTTGGAGCCACTAGAGGCAACAGCTGACTCATTCTCCAGCACTTCACACTCGTCGGTCAACGAGTGGTTCCCGAGTTAAACGGTGTCCTCTGAGGACGTTCTCAAAGTTCATCTAGACATGCCTGGATATCTGAGAAATCGTGAAGAGCATACTGGCTGGTGGAAGCAGAACTAGTGAAAAAATACAGAAGATTAGGGCAGGAAGAGATTGTAGAAATATCTGGCTTATCCCTCTATCCTTTCTAGAAGACAGAACTGAGTCTCAGAAAGGCTAAGAGATTTGCCCAAGAAGTTGAAGTACAAAGCAGAAAACCCATTTCCCATATCGGATATTATTCATTTATCTGTAGTAATAAGAAATAATAAAACAAACTTTTATTTTTAATTCCCCCTCCCCCAGGGTATATGTGCTTAATAGAGCAGAGACAGAGAGCACCTCCCAGTGGGGGTATGGTCATGCTGTAATCCCCTATCCTTCATTTACCCATCTTATTGGATTCGGGGCATACATACACATGTGTCCAGTGCGTTTTCCTAAACACTAGGACTGGGATTTGAACTGCAGTTGGTCAGATGAGATTTGGCTCCCTTCATCACTAGACTAAGGTCAGCCCAGAAAAATATTCTTATCAGTGAAATATATCTTACCTCTCTCTTTCGAGATTGTGATAAAGGTCAAAAAGGTAATATAAAGGAAATGAGTGTAAGGTGTAAGGAGTTTCCTGTATAAATGTTTATTCTTTGAATTAAAAAGAATTAGTTTATTTATTTATTTATTTTTAATTTTAAGAGAGATTTTTGCCATAGGGCATATGTGCTCACTGGAGACACAGAGAGAGAAAGTGAGAAACCACCCCCTAGGTGGCATAGCCATGCCTCAATCCTTTTCCTCCATTCTCCTCTTGGGATTTCAGGCATGCATGCACACATGCCTAGCATGAGTTTCAAGCCAACAGGTCTGGGACTTGAACCATGGTCGACCATATGGGAGTCTAGTACTTTAACCATTATGCCACTTGCTGGGACCTATTATTATTTTTCACTTAACTAGAGAAAGAGAGAGGAAAACTGAGAAAGCAAGTCATCAGATCTGTGACTCAAACCATGGTCACCCATGTGGGAGTCCAGTCCTTAATCACCAAGCCACCTGCTGGCCCCTACCCTATTCTTTACTGTAACTCAACCTCAGAAATCCAGCACTCATGTTGCTGCAAGGTACTACCTAGATTTGAGAACTAAGTTCTATTTCTTAATAAGGTAAAATGGTAATTTTGTCCCCATTTCCATAGTTATGTCAAGCATAATATGATATTAGACTCAAACAGTAAGTTCTTGTTGAAGGTCCACTGGGTGCCAAGCATGATTCCTGACAGAGAGAAACCGATGTTCTCCATCAGTTGACTCACATGACACAAACCAGTTGAACTGCGGGTCAAGTACTGTCCTCCCAAATATCACTGAGTTATAGGATTACCTGAAATTTTAGCATGAGTAGATGTACTTACCTCTTCTGTAACCTCAGGCAATTCGAATCAATTGTACATGGCTCACATGTCACACAAAAATTCACAAGACATAGATTCAAAAAGGCTATGTTCTGGGGCCAGCAGGTGGCATGGTAGTCAAGGCCACTCCCACATGGTCAATCATGGTTCAAGTCCTGGACCTAGAGACTTGCTTCCTGTCTCTCTCTGTCACTCTCTGACTAAATTAAAATAAATACACAAACAAATAAATACATGAATAAGTAAATAAATAAAATAATTCAAAAAACACCTTTTTTTAAAAAAAGGCTATGCACATTTGGATAAAGAACCAGGTTAGGAAAACGAGCCTCATCACAAACATCATTGTATCTAACAGTGTGAATCTGTACATTTTTCATTGACACTGGTAAAGACAGAATTTTTTTTTTTTTTTTTTTTGGAGAGGTTTTTCGCTATAGGGCGTGTGCGCTCACCAGACAGACAGAGAGAGACATAGAGACAGAAAGCGAGAAATCACCCCCCAATCCCTTCTCCTCCATTCTCCTCTCGGGATCTTGGGCACGCACACACATGCACCCGGTGTGAGTTTTAAGCCACCGGGTCCGGGACATGAACCGCGGTTGACTACGTGGGAATCCAGCGATATAGCCATTACGCTAACTGCTGGTTCCCAAGACAGAAATTTCAGAACGGTTAGAAAAGCTAGATAATCTTGAAAATGGTCCAAGGGATGTTGAAGGAGAATTCATTGTATACCCCTGTTATTAATAAAAACATGTATGTGCTGGGCCCAAATGCAGTGTCTGTAGGAGCCAAACACGAGACACGGCAGCATTTCTCTTGTGTGAGGTGGACCAAATGTAAGGCCTTAGGGAGTGGACGGGACAGGAGGAAAATACGGGTAAATGACATGTAATTATTTTTTAAGATTGTGAGGGGTCTTTGAAAAGTTTAAGAAAAATGCATAGTTTAAGAAAAAACTATGGATTTCAAAAAAATTTGCACCACAATAAATTCACACTTTAATTCCATCTTTCCATAAACATTTTAAGGTTTCTTCGTGCTGTGAGAACCAAGGAAAACACCTGTGCCCACGCTAGTGGGCTTCGAGGCTGTCAGTATGTTCTGCCTGGAAATATCAATGGTGTTCTTTTTATCTGAATGTGCTGTCTTTATCTTCCTTTAGAAAACATATATTTAGGGCCAGCCTGTGACCTCGTGGTTAAGGGAGTCAGATCACACATAGCCAACTGCGGTTCGAGCCCCAACTCAAACAGGCTTCAAATACATGCTGAGCGCATGTGTGTGCCCCAAATCTGAATGGGATGGAGAAATGAAGAAGGGATTGCAGTGTGACTACACTCCATGGAGGGTGCTTTCTCCCTCCCTGGCGAGTCCATGTGCCATCTGGCAATTTTAAAAATATATATATAGTTATCTTAAAAATATAAAGAATAAATTATAATCTAAATATAGTTTAAATAAGTTGTAGTATATATCATCTTTTATTCATTTATAAAGGCTTTCACAGGTTCATTCCATAAGTCTCATAGAGTACTAAATTCCTCAGCATCTCATTCTATCACATTCATTCAACATATGTTTACTGAGTGCTAACCATACGCTAGGCTAAATTCTGGGTAGACCCCAAGGGCTTCAAGGACTATGATCCTAGGAGTTTTAGAGAACATATTGCCATATGGACCCTACCAAATCCTAGCATTTCTGTAGTCAGTTTAAAAGGTAAGAGTGTGTTCCCTATGACCAGTGTTAGCATGAATACCGCAGAGGTTTCGGACCGTGTCAACTCAAGGACCCCCAAATTCAGGGTGGGTGGTGAAGAGACTTAAAGAACAAAAGCAGATGGGAGGTCTAGGAGCCACTCGCTTCCCTCAGCTGTGTAATTTCCGTGTCTGAACGCACAGACCTGTGGACAGCTCCAGAGCACCTGCGCCAAGCCAGCGTTTCGCAGAAGGGGGACGTGTACAGCTACGGGATCATCGCCCAGGAGATCATCCTGCGCAGGGAGACCTTCTACACGTTGAGCTGCCGGGACCAGAACGGTAAGTCGACGCCCTTCCTCTGCAGCTGCTGGGAGCAGGCCACGCTGCCTGAGGAACTCACCCAGCCCCTCATCTGTTGTGACCACATCTCAGTTCCCTCTTCTGCAAAAGTAACAACTTCTGGGCTGCACTGCGCCTTTATGGGGGATTGGAAGGACTAAAGGTGAGAGTGCTCTGAACAACACGACAGTGCACTGCCAGGTGTCATTATTGTCATTACTGCTGTTCAAGTCTCTTCCCTCACACTGCCCCCCTTTTCCTTCTGATTCCAATAAAAGACCATGTCTGCTTAATGCCTGAACCATAATAGATCGCTCTAGTGGGATGACATACAAAATTTAACTTTTAGTAAGAAAAGATCTATAGTTGCTTTTTGTTTGTTTGGTTTTTTGTCACATGTCCTCTCAGGGGAAAATGCTGCAGCCCATGCATGTAATTCTCACTTATTGAGCATTTATTATGTGGTGGCTCTTCACTGTCTGGGAGGTAGGGTGAGTAAGGGATGAATGGAGGCTGGGCCAGTGTGTTGGCCAGAGGAAGCTCACTGGAAGCAGTGGTATTTTAGTAGAGTTTTAAAGGGTTAGCCTAACGTTTACTTATCCTGGTTATAAGTGGGATAAGACCCCTCCACCTAGTGGCTCATTCATTCAATGTTTGCCTATTAAGTGTTGGTCAAGATTTTACAATTCTCTCCCTGGGCTGAAAAATCATTAGAGGGTTAAACCAATTCAGATTCTGCTGAAATGTCTTCATGCTGAATTATTTTCTTTTTTAAAAAATTATTATTTATTTAACTTTGTTTATTATCATTATATTTTAATTCGACCAGAGAGAGATAGAGAAAGGGAAAGAGAGAAAGTGAGAAAGTAAGCCACCAGGTCCAGGACTTGAACCACAGTTCACCACATGGGAGTTCAGTACCTTAATCACCACACCATGTGCTGACCCCCATGCTGAATTCTTTCTTGTAATTTGAATTATTCTCATCCAATCAGAGAAGATTTTCAGAGTGGAAAATTCCAATGGAATAAAACCCTTCCGCCCAGATCTATTCCTGGAAACAGCAGAGGAAAAGGAGCTAGAGGTGAGTACATCCTCCCCCAACTTATTTGGCCTGCTGAAACAAATTACCACAAATTTGTTGGATTGAGACAACAAAAAATAATTCATGTATAGTTCTGGAGGCCAGAAATTCAAATTCAGTTGTCAACAAGGCCATGCTCCCACCAGAGAGGCTCCAAGGGGCTAATCCATCCTTGCTTCCAGAAACTTCCGGTGGTTGTTAACATCCCTTGGACTGTGGCAACATTCTCCAATCTCTGCCTCTTGGTCACATTCTTTTCTCCTATCTGTTCACTATCCCTCACCTTTCCCCTTCCTGTTAGGATACATGTGATTGATAATCCAGATAATCCAGAAAAATCACCCCAACTCAAGGTCTTTTTTTTTTCCCCCCCAGAGGGTACACGTGCTTGCCAGAATGAGATAGAGTGAGGGAGAGAGAGAAAGTAACCCCCCAGTGGGGCTTAGTCATTCCTCAACCCTTCTCCATTTCTCCATCCTGTTGGGATGTGGGGCACATACACACATATATGCAATGGGTTTTTCAAGCTGCCAGGGCTGTAATTCAAACTGTGGTCGGCTAGGAATCTGGTTACCTGAACCACTAAGCTATGGGACTGGCCATCAAGGTCCTTATCTTAATTGCAGCTGCAAAGACCCTTTTTTCAAATAAGGCAACAATCAAAGATTCCAGGGATTAGGACAGAGCCATGTCTTTGGGGTCCATTATCAGTGCACACACTCCCCTTGGCCTTTCTCCACTTCCCCAGTAAGCACAGAGCTTGCACGAAGCACAATCACATTCTCATTTTTACTGGCTAAAATGACAAGATGGCCATGTGATATGCAGGTTTACTATCCCTTATTTAAAATGCTTTGGACCAGACATGTTTCAGATTTCAGAGGTTTTCAGATTTTGGAATATCTGCAGATACATAGTGAGATATTTTGTGGGTAGAACCCAAGTTAAACATGAAATTCATTTACATTTCACATATACCTTTATACACATAGCCAGAAGGTAATTTTATACAGTATTTTTGTATTGCAGTGTTTTGACTGTAACCCATCACATGAAGTCAGGTGTGGAATTTTCCACCTGTGGTGTTGTGTTGGTGTTTAAAAAGCTTTGGATTTTGGAGGATTTTAGATTTCAGATTTTCAGATTAGGAATGCTCAGCCTATACTTACTAGTGCTTGTAAATATTGTTTAGTGATTTTAAAAGACACACTGACATCTGAAAAATATTTCCACTCCTTTTACATTTTCTCTTAAAGAAATGGAAATTTATCTCTCTACATTTGGTTATTATTATTATTTCTTTTTTGGAGAGGTTTTTGCTATAGGGCACTTGCGCTCGCCAGACAGACAGAGAGAGACAGAGAGATAGAAAGTGAGAAATCACCCCCCAGGGGGGATGGCCACACCACAATCCCTTCTCCTCCATTCTCCTCTCGAGATCTTGGGCACACATGCACACACACCCGGCATGAGTTTAAGCCACCAGGTCCGGGAATCAAACCGTGGTCGACTATGTGGGAGTCCAGTGACATAGTCATTACGCTAACTGGTGGTCCCTGGTTAATTTTTTAATAATCCTTCAAAAAGGACTTTAAAGGCCTGGGGAAAATATTTTTAAAGTTTAGAAAAAATTTTTTTTTCAATTTTGGTCTAGCAGATGGCATGATGGTTAAGGTGCTAGATTCCCATATGGCTGACCATGGTTTGAGTCCTAGACCTGGCAGCTTGAAAAGCATGCAGGACATGTGTGCATGGGTTCCCAAAATCCCAAGAGGAGAATAGAGAAGAAGAGACTGTGGCATGGCCATTCCCCATGGGGGAGTGAGTTCTTACTTTCCCTTTCTCTGTCTGGTGAGCATATGTGCCCTATGGCAAAAAAAAAAAAA